GCAGACAATGTTTCTCCAATACAGCTTATAGGACAGACATTTATTAATAATATGCGAATAAGTGTTAATGGAAGAGAAGTGTTCAATTCAAATTCCCTTTATGCTTACAAAACCTATTTTTCACATGAGCTCTCATATTCACAAAACGCAAAGAGCTCACATTTAAATGCCGCTGGATACTTTTATAATAATACTTCAACTCAAGAAGGTGGTTTAGATACAATCGAAAGGCGAAGATTATTTGAAAACAGTAAAACAGCACAATTCATTGCTAAACTTGATGCAGATATTTTCAATCAACCACTTTATTTGATAAATCACTGTGAGGTTGATATCGAAATTATACCAAACGATTCCCGATTTGTTCTTATGACATTTGGACTACAAAATGCTATGGAAGTAGCAACGCGTTATCATTTTGAAGTAACAAATATGAAACTTTATGTTAAGAAGGTTGACTTAATGGACGGATTGGCTTTGGACATTGCAAAAATACTTGAAACTAAACCTGCTCGCTACTCGATAAGAAAAACTATGATGAAGCCTTTGTTTATTAGTCAGGGTCGATATGAGTTTAATGCCAATCTATTTATGGATCAGATTCCTAGACGTATTACATTGGGACTTGTTTCAAATTCTGATTATGTAGGAGATATTAAACGTAGCCCTTTTAACTTTCATCATTTTAATGTTCGCGAGATTAGCATTATTGCTAATGGAAGAAATTATCCACAAGCACCGTATGACTTTGATTATGAAAATGGAAAATATGTTCGAGCATTTAATGATATGAATGAGGCAATTGGTTTAGCAAATTCAACGGAGAGCAATGGAATAACTTTACAACAATATGGTAAAACACATTGTATCTATGTTTTTAACCTAACAAATAGCGGAGAAGATCAAGGAGGAACTTTTGATTTAATTAAAAATGGAACAACGGCTGTAAATATTAAGTTTAGCAAACCTGTACCTGAGGGAGGAATAATGCTTATAGTAATGGGAGAAGCAGATTCACTCATAATGTTAGATAAAAATAGAACAATCGCAAGTGATACCACTATATAAATTCTAACCTTTCATATTGTAATTATTTTAAATAGATAAATTTATTCCTTTTAGAATTTATTTTTGATACAAGTAAAACATTAACCCATATTTTAAAAATTTTTTTAAAAAAAGTATAAATATGAAAGAATTTTGAGGAAAATCATTTAAAAATGAATAATATTTTGAAAATAGTTTTTCTAATTAGAATTTTTGTTCCACTAATCGAGGCATTATCAACAGATGGTACTATAAAATTGGATAATTTACCAGAATATTCTGAACTTGTTAAATATTACAGAGGAGAAAATATTACAGGAAATCCTCTTTTACCTTCAAAGCAAAAAATTGTTGCTCCAGTACCAAATTTTATTAATTTCGATAATCTGCCATCGCTTTGCAAGGAAAGTCCAAAAGACAATAATTTTTATGGACATGTATTCTGCTGGGGAATGATATGTTTGTATGCCATGTTATTAGCTAGTCTAATTATTTATCAACTTCGATCAGTACTTTGGTTCAGATTCAATTTTAATAATGTACGCAAGTCAGATTACAAAAATTCTGAGGACAAATCACCAAACATCACGAATCTTCCTAGGATGCTTCCCTTGTAATTGTCTGCCTGATCCGACTTCAACAAAAGGAAAAATGCTAATTGTCAATTTGGACCCTTTTGGTTATGAAGGTTCTCACTGGGTTGTTGTTTACATAAAATATAATGATGAAGTGATATATTTTGATAGCTTGGCACTCCCTACTAGTATATGCATAATTAACTCCTTTCTCAAAAATTTTTCCAAAATTTCAAAAAATCTAAAACCTTATCAATCCGAATATGCCAATACTTGTTCCCAGCATTGCATCTCTTTTATATATTTTTTCTCAAAAGGTTATACTTTTGACCAATACCTTGAAATATTAAATAAACAAGCAAATCCAGATTTATTTGTAACTAATATAGTGAATAAAATGATTAATTATTGAGTTTATTTTTGGTGATTTTAGCACAATCTGAGCAAAGATAAAGTAGATAAATGAACGAAATTTCATCTTTTGTGTTGAAAATTTCATTCTGATCTCTTGTCAAAGTGAATTTTAGACAGTCAGGACACCACTTTCCAGCTCTAAAGTAATTTATCAACATACTAAGTCTTGCACCTATATCGAAAGTTTTCCCTTCTTTTAAAGTAATGTTCATTGAATTGAGATATTCTCGTTTGTAAAAATTTTTATATAAACATATTCCCTGAATTAAATTAAAATTATTTAATATTTACTTAATTAACCTCTACAATTACAGCAATATCATATTCCTCATTTTTGTTTGACGTAATGTTGTCCATTAAAAATTAAATTAAAAATTAAGGATAATAATAGATCTTTTAAGTGAATTCTGAAACGAACAAAAATTTTTGGAAATTAATGAAAATCATAAGAAATCATAAATATTTAAAATCATAATATTTAAATTTCGCTTGGCTTCGCTTTTATTTTCATAAATAGAGGAAGGCTGACATATATAAAGATAAAACGAATTTTACTTTTCCTGAACTCTTAATAGTTGGAATTTTTTGTTTTATCTGTTTTATATACTTTTGCCATTTTTTCTTACAATGTTTAAAATAAAATCAAAAATATTTTATAGATTATTAAAACAATTTATAATACTTTAAATTCGCAATGGAACAAACTTTCGCTTCTTTCTTAAATATAAATGATATAAATCAAGAGGTAGATATTTTTATAAAGTCTCTTATCTTTAATATTTTAGAAGCTTCCAAGTGATCCTATATCCTCTATACCGGTCAAAGTTGTTGAACAAAATGTTTTGGAGGTAAATCTTTATAAAAAATCAAATTTATTTTCAATATTTAGGGAACTACAGAATTTTGGGATTGTTCCTGGCATCCTTTAACTAAAGATCTGAATCAAATGATTAAAAATGGTGAGAAATTGGATTCGTCCACGTTATTCACATTCTTGGATCACAATTTTGAGCTCTCAACATGGTGTGATCATTGCCGTACAAAAATACTTAAAAAGGAGCAAGATGAAATCATAAAGGTTGAAAAAGGAAATACATACAAATATAAATTTTTTGTATGTGCTGATTGTGCCCAAATAATAAAATATGCAACGTTTTATTATTGAATTGTTTATTTTTTTAAAATTTTACAAATAAGTTTAAATTTGAATAATATTAAATAAATTGTTTATCTTGAAAAATTGTTATCATTGATTATATTTTCTTTGGCGTGTATGGTGATAAAATATCTGTAGATTTACAATTCTTCTTATAGCATCCGTCACAAATTTCAAATTTAATTTCAATCTTTTCTGCTTTTCGAACTGCTTTGTCACTCTTTTTAAATACACTGTCCCGACATTCTAAGAATTTTTAAAATTTTAATAAAAAGCAATATATTAACCTGCACAAAGTGAAAACGTCAGAAGAAATTTTCCTCTAAATAATTTCCAGAAAGGTTCACTAGTAGTTTTGGTTTCAGAAATATTACCAGGACTCATTTCAGTTTCGTTAATTTTTTCCATTTAAAGAATTTTCTGAATAATTTTGCGAATGAGTATATGTATGGATAAACTCTGGCTATTTATATTGTCAATGTGGGCGGTCCTTAAAATTTTGTAAACAAAAAAAGAGTATATAAACTAATTAATATTAATTTTAATTTCATTTTAAAAATGGTCCTTGTAACTGAAGAATGTGCAAATATTTTATGTTGTACCGTCAAATCGCTTAGATGTCATCTTAATCACCCAGAAAATAGAAATTTAGTTCTGAAAAAGCTTCAAGATCGTAAGGTTGAGACAACATACACTGACAAAAATGGAATGAAAAAAAGTTTTATAATTGGTGGCTTATCAAAGGAGGGGGCAAACGTTATACCAGCATATGGAAAACTTGCAAAACCTTTCAACATTTCTGTCACAGCACATTTTTATGCAAGACATCGAATACGACTTTTAAATCCTTATCTTCATTGTATTATCGAACAATTTCCAAACAAAAAAGGATCATTTCAAGAAAATCGATATTACCCATTGGAATTGCTTGAACTTGTTAAAGAGGAGGAGAAAGAAAAAATTTCCAATTTCTCTGAAAACATAAAATTTACAAGTGACAACATGCAGACATCTAAAACTTCTAAAACTAAATCAATAATTGTAGCTGACGAGGAAGAAGAAAATTTTGATGAAGATTTGTTGAAACCAAGTTATTATTGTAACGGATGGTGATTTAAAAAAACAATTACATAATTTCAAATATTTATTACAAATTTATTTATTACAAATATTAAATGAAAGTAAATAAAAATAAACATTATAAAAAAATAACAATAGATATAATTTTTAAAAATTAAATATGACCAAAATTTAATACAGAAAAATCGGAGGGTCTGATTATCCCTTTCCCAACAAAAGGTCTAGATATTTTATGGCGGGATAGTGTGGATACATTTAAATTTTTAATTGAGGGACATAAAAATGAGGGATACATTATTTTAATTGGTTCATTATTTCCTGTTTTTGCGTATTTGATGACTTGTCTTTTGAACGTTTCATATCTTAATCCTTGATTGTTGACGATATCATAATTTAAGGTTATTCCTCTTACTTTTAAAATATATTCATGTTCATTTTGTTGCTGATTGTCTTTCTTTTTTAATTTTAAGCCATATTGTTTTGCTCCTCCAGAAACATACTCTATGATGTCATGTTTTGGATACTCATCGGTAAATTGTCCAAGATGAGGTCCAAGATTTAGAGGGTTGACTCTTTCAGGATGGGTAAAAATTAGGGAGTCAGTGTCCGTATACAATAAAGTACATCCATCAGTACGGACAACCTGTTGCATTGCACGAAGGAGGTGGATTCTTGCTGCTGAAGTGGTCCAGAGTGAAATAACTAAATAGTATTAAATTAAAAATTTTTTAATAAAAAATACCAATATTAGAACACTCATGTTCTTCGATCCACTCTTTTTTCTTCATATATGCAATCATTAATATTTCTGGGGACAATTCATCTAGGCTTGTTATTTGAATTGATTTGTCATTTATGAATTTTTGGTATTGTTCTGGGTCATCAGTTATTATACATTGAGAAAGACCAAAATTGCGTAGTGAAAATCGTCCCCAAAGATTATTTAACATAAGTTTGGCTTGTGTCCTCCGACCTTTGTTGGGGTTCATTTTACTTCTTTCAATTTTTATTCCAAATTTTTCACTGCATTCTTTAATAAATTGGTCTTCAGCTTGAGTGTTGTTTTTAATATTATTGTCAAAACCTGACGAATGTATTTTTTCTGCCATGAACTCTGAGATATAAGGGCGAAACAATTCAGAGTCCGATTTGTTGTATTCTAGTACACGAAAGAGTTTTGTTACAATATAACCCTCTTCTAGAGCAACATTCAATTCGATTGATGTGCAAGTTGATACCCATCCTCTTTCTTCATTGTTGTGTGTACATCGATAATTTTCTATAACACCACCTTCAGGATACATTTTTCTAAAAATTAAGTTATTTTCTAGTAAATAATTTTTTTATCTTACGCGCATTTTGCACACAGAGGAAATAGAAGACGAGCATCATTTTCTAATTTCATAGGTAGTACTGGAACATCAATTTTCCTTGGTGGAATTACAAAGACTTTCAAAATTGCCAGATTGTATGTGTTGTCAATAGCTCTTGTCCAGTTTACATTTTTATTGATGATGTGAACTTTCGGATGTCCAACAGGATAAGCTGTTGTTACGTTAATAAACGGATATAATGATGTCACGTCATAATATGATATCCGTTCTCCATCTGTTATCTTATGATGGAGTTTCAATGGTCCAGTTCTTCCTCCATAAAAACAGCTTCTAATATCAATTGGTCCATCATCAATATAACTGTAAAATAGTTCTCTCATCTCACGATCTTTGGCCAACATTTGATGAATTTCGCAATCCCAATCAGACCTGGGCGAAACTCAAAATTTTTTTCTGACGAAACGAAACGAAACAAAATTTTTTAAAAATCGTTTCGTTAACGAAACGAAACGAAACAACCAAAATCTTACGAAACGAAACGAAACAAAACGAAACATTTTAATATTCAAAAAATTTTCAAAACTGCATTTATTTCGAAATTATTCGACCTCAAATACGTTATTAGTCGACTATGACTTATAAATGATTTAGTTATTGGTTTATTTACAACAATTGTGTCCCATAAGCCAGGCCCGTAGCAAGGAAAATTTTCGGGGAAGGGGGGGGGTCAATCATTTTCGAAGCCAAATTTTTGGCGACGCTTTTTTTTAAATAAAATTGAATATTTTTCAAGTAAAATTTTATTTTAAGCGCCGCAGACGAAAAATTTTAAAATTTTGAAAGGCCGTAGGCCAAAAAATTCACCATCTTGCTCCATTGCCTACCCAAATTGTCTCCATATCTCCATTTCGAGAGGAAGGCGATATAAGCTAGTGCTTCGCCGGAAGTTCCGGTTCCAGTATTTCCGCAACTCGCAATCCGCAATTTTTAAATTATGATGCGAGTCCGGTAATAGAATTTGTCGTCGATTAAGTAATATGTATATGTGGATTAGGGAGTGGAGTATAAACGGATTTGTAGTATATAAGTAATTGCTATCTTCCTTTTTCAGCGCCGCAGGCGAAAATTTTGACAATTTGGGAAAGCCAAGAAGCCGAAATTCTTTTTTTTTCAGCGCCGCAGGCGAAAATTTTTTAAATTTTCAATAAAAGATGGTAAATTTTATAGATTTTGGCCTTAGTTTAGGCTTAAAAAATTGTTTCGTTTCGTTGAAAAATCACAGGTGTTTCGTAACGAAACGAAACGAAACAAATTTAAAAGTGTTTCGTAACGAAACGAGACGAAACAGTAAAAATCATACGAAACATACGAAACAACGAAACGAAACGAAACGTTTCGCCCACGTCTGATCCCAATAAATGTCAACACGGGCAATTTGAGTTAGTATAAATTCCATTCTATTTTTATCATGTTCCCTCAAGTATCCAGCAGTTTTTCCATTAGGCATTAAATCATTATCATTTGGGAAACATTTGGGGCATCCATGCCATACACACCCATTAACTTCTATACCAAAATTTTCTTCAACAACCCATCCATCAAGTTGGTAGTTACCTATTTTCTTCTCGCCACCGTCAGAGTTGACATTTTGTACGGTTACACCAAATTTTTCAGAGTACCATTTGAAAAATCTAAGCGCAAGAAGACTTTGGTTTCCATCTACTTTGTCATAACCACGTTCGGGTACAAGTGCCAAATGTTGTTCTTTTAGATGGTTTGTTCGGAAATGACGCATACAGGCCGAAGCGATGGTCATTGCCTCTCGTAATACATCAATTCCTTCATGAGTTTTAGATGATGCAGCCCTTTCTCCATTATTGCGTTTTGTCACCTCAAAAAATTCCTTTCGAAAAGCAATAAGCGCAGCCATTAAAATTTCAACATCGTTTGTACAATAACTAGCTAAAGCTTCATCAAGTAGGAAAGGTGTATTTTTTTGATGTTCGTACCAAAGATCAAACATTTTCCTTTTTTCAGGCATCATTCCATTGGCGAGATAATCGGTTTTTGTTGGATATATTTCCTTTCCGTAATTTTCAGGACGATTGGCCATGTGAGGGAAGAATGGTTTGTCTTGAACCTCGAGATCGAATGAAGGTACAAGTGAAGCAAGTGACATTGGCATTAAATTAAAGGTGTCACGGAAGATGATATTATTCTTCTTGTTCTTCATCTTCATTTCATAAATTTTATTTCCCTTTTTCAAAATTTCAGGTATTAATCCTTGCTTAACTATTTCTTTTAGAGTAATGACAATGTCGAACCTGCCTCCAAAATGTGAAAAAGCATAGATGTCGTAATTTTGTGGGAGTTCATTTAAGATCCAGTTAACAAAGGATGAAATTGGAGAATTGCATATTATCTTCTTATCAACAGTTGTTTCAATAAAGGGATGTTGAGAGAAAGTTATTGTTCGATGTTGTCCACAAATTTTGCAAGTATTAATGTGAAGACTTTGTTGCCATTGTCCTTTTATTATACATTCAGGACATGAAACTTTTGCTGCAATAAAGTTAGGCTCATGAATAGTAGATAATTGTGTAGTTTCAAAATCAAACGCAATAATTAAATATGGTTGACATTCTTTTGGTTCCAAAGGTTTAATGTAGCAACCTCGTGTTAAATCATGAAATTCATTACATGTATTACAATGTTTTTCTGAGCATACATGACCTTTACGTCCGTTACGAGTGTTGACATAAACATTCCAAATAACTCCGCATTTTTTGCACTTCTTAGAATTTTTACAGAAACCATTATTTAAATGTTGTTCGTAACAATCCTTGTTTTTAAAATCTTTAAAACATAAATTACAATTTTTGAAGAAAATGTTGTCGGGTTGACATGGAAATTCAGGTCCAACACGTGAACAGTTTTTGCAGCGAGCTTTACATGTAATAGAATGATGTTGAGCTTTATTGTAGACACACTTACAGGATAGGCAGTAATACTTTCCAAATAATCGACCATTTTTCTTTACAGCATAAAAATGTTTTTCAATATCATTGTAGTAAAGAAGTATAGGAGTGTCGTAGTCCTCAGGTCCATATTCAAATTCAGGTTGGTAATTACCATGGTCACCGAATATAAATATTTTAACAATACATTGATTAATACATTTAACATTATTCCAATGATCAACAACATGTGGAATCCATTCATCAGCATCATATTCATGCAAACCAATTTGAGCCCCTATTTGATTCATTAATTCATATGTATCTTTTTGAAAACGACCAGCCATTCCCTTTAGATTATTTATGTAGTAGAAAAATTTTAAACATGGCCAGCTGCAAATATTTTGTGTAAGTGATGCGATTAAAGCGAAAAATAGACAATGATTCATGTTGTCAGGGTTATTGAATTTGATTAGTGACCTATTATTAATTTGATGACGAACTTTGGGGATTTTACGAGCAGCCCCTCCTAAACGGCGTCTTTTATTAAATGAATTCTTATTTATTGTTGTTACAGTTATGGAAAAAGGTGCGCCAAATAGAGATAATTCGTCTTGTTTTTTACTCTGGGCAATATGTTGACAACGATTAAGCATGGCATCAACAGTATTATTTGATAAATTACTGAAAAAAATCTAATATAAACTAAAACGTAAGAAATAATACCTGAAAGGAACCCAGATGTCATAGTCTAAAAAGTCACTGGTTAGAGTGCAAGCTAATTGTTGAGGTTCAATGTTTTTTTCTCTTGCATGTTCCAAAGTTCGATCAACACAAAATTGAAAAATTCCTGAATTTTTTGATTTATTGAAATAAAAATTTAGTTTAATTACCAGACAGAAGGGACTCAGCATCGGCTGGAACATCTTTAATCATAAATTTTGAATAAGTTTTAGTTACATTAAATTTTGCATTATGTTGTATTGAATCATTTAGTCGTTCAACATAACGTTCAGCATTGTATCCTGTTCCTTGTTGTAATCCAAGTAGATTAGCAATAAAGAAACTTCTTGAATTTTTTGAAAGCTGCTGCATTTAAAAAATATTTTTATGAAATATTAACTAAAAAAAGAATATTAATATAAAAATGATATAAAATTAAAAAATGACCGTTTTTATAGTCTTTCCCCTACACCTTTATTTAAAAGATGGCAATTAAATTTTAATAGATTTTACCTATTTAACTCTTGTTCTTTTGGGGTTTTCAAATTCGCTATTTTAGGTGTATGAAAATGAAAAAAAGTAAAAAAATAATTAAAAAATTTTAAATGATAGTTTTAGTAAACTCCGGTTGATCTGATCAATCGCTTAATCTCTTGGTATAAAGAACTGATCACCCCCTCTGTTGATCACTCTTTACTGTCACTTTTCAGTATATTGATCACACGATTGATTTCGATCAATTAATTGATCACATAATAAACTGATTGTAGTTTGATCAATTTTAATAACTTTATCACTTGATCACTTTTGATCAATCATCTGATCACTTATTCACATTTTTTATTACATGATAAATTTCATTGATCACTAGCCTTTTAAATTTTAAATTGATTATTCGATCACTTGATTGACCGCTCATTTACTTTACCTACTCGATTATATACATGATACTTTTACTCAATCTTTTGATTGATCACTCAAATAGTCACTTGATCACTTGATTGACCACTCATTTACTTTGATCACTCAATTATATACATGATACATTTATTCACTCTTTTAATATCTTTTGATTGATCACTAAATAAATTAATACTCGCTTGATCAGTTG